ATTCAAAACGGAGAGTGGTTTCATGAGCTTCATGATTGAATTCCTGAATGTGGCAGTGTCAAATGAAGACCAAACGACAAAAATGGCAAGCCTCCTAGGGAATCTTAGAGCGTATATGGTCAACGCAGACGCTCTAATCAACTCTATCAACACAGTCAAGAAAAGATTCAGAGATGAAGACGAGGAAGATGAAAAGAACGATCAAGAGGTAAATCTCGCTCTACGTAGGAGGATATCTCATGTTCGCCACTACAGCACTGGAGATATGCCCAGTTGCTTGCCGGTGTTAACATCAAAGGCGAACACAAATGAGGTACCTTCTATGGAAAGCGAGACACCAGTAGATCAATAGAACACAACCAATGAGAGGCATCAATCCGGACAGTCATCATGGCGGGCCAGGTAAAGGTTCTTCAACTTAACGTTAACGGACTGGCCCCCAGATGTGCTGAGCTGAGAAAATACATCACCACAACCCCAAAGATGTAATATGCCTCCAGGAAACCAAGCTACTACCAACTAAGAAAGACATCTACCTACCCGGATACACTTGTCAGAGAAGGGACAGATCGGGCAGCACGACGCGTGGCGGCGGTCTTGCCATCTACGTCAGTGATAACTTAAATTATACTTCTGTTACGCTGGACGTAGCGGGCCCTCTAGAAGCAATGGGCATAGCCATCACATTGAGCAATAATAAAAAATTGACAATAGTGAATGTCTATGCACCCCCAATAGTCACGATAAAATCAGTAGACTTCCAGTCACTTCTCGACCAGCTTCCGCAGGGCGAATCTGTGTTTTGCGGGGATTTCAACGCAAAACACGCTCTGTGGGGGTCACCGAGGAATGACTGTCGGGGGACTAGCCTGTGCGCAATAATCGAAGGGAACGACCTATGCGTACTAAACGACGAGAGCCCTACTTTTGTTGGAGGAAATGCCCCACCTTCACACCTGGATCTCACGCTCTGTACGCTTGGTATGGCAAACCGCTGCGACTGGCAAGTACACGAAGATGAAACACTTGGCAGCGACCATCTACTGATAGAACTCTACATCCAATGTGAAACAACCAGGGAAGTCTATAACGGGAAACCCAATTGGAAAATAAAAGAGGCTGATTGGGCTAACTTCCGTGTAGGAAAGAAGAAGACATCATCGATGCCAACATCGACGTGTACGCAGCCAACATCACGAGTGCTATTATAGGTGCCGCAGACGACTCCATTCCCAAGACTTCTGGAGGGCAATCAAGGATTAGAAAACCTTGGTGGTCACCAGAATGTCAGAAGGCGGTTAACGAAAGAAAGAAGGCACTACGCCTACGGAAACGTCACTACAATGAAGTCAACCACCAAAACTACCTGAAGTTGAAATACGGTGCTAGAGACACCATCCGGAAGGCACAAAGTAGACACTGGATGACATTCTGTAATGCGTTGAATCAAAACACGTAAACAGGTGCCGTCTGGAAGAAGCTAAACGCCATGAACGGGAAGCGCAGATCATTCAAAATACCAAACTTAAAGAATGGAGATGAGTACGTTACCAACGGCAATGAAAAGGCAGATCTACTTGCAAAAGCTTTCGCTGACGCAAACAGGGACGAAAACCAATCACCAGAGTTCCTGAAGAGAAAGGAAATCTTTTACTCACAGCACCCTTCATTAGAAATTGAACCTAATGAAGGGGCTAAACCAATCAATCTACCCTTCTCTGAGGAAGAGTTAAATAAGGCTCTTTCCCTCAAGAAGGATAGTGCGGCTGGTGAGGACAAAGTAAAGTACTCAATGCTCAAACATCTGCCTAGAAATGCCAAAAGGATACTACTAAACTTCTTCAACACATCCTGGCTGGCAGGAGAGGTACCTAAAGAATGGCGGAAAGCCAACGTCATCCCTCTTCCAAAACCAGGTGAAGAGAAAACAAAGGCAGAGTCCTATCGACCAGTAAGTTTGACATCCACACTGTGCAAAACCTTGGAAACAATAGTTAACATACGACTACAGTTCTATCTGGAGAGCAACCGACTGATCGACGAAAATCAAAGCGGGTTCAGGAAAGGGCGTTCAACAATGGACCACTTGGTAAGACTGCAGCAAGTCATGTCGCAGGCACTCCTCTCTGGGAACCTGTTAGGTGTCGTGTTCGTAGATTTAACTAAGGCTTTCGATTTAGTCTGGCTAGACGGGCTGCTCTTCAAGTTAGGACGTATTGGTATAACGGGCATAATGTTTCGGTGGATCAAAAGCTTTCTGAGCGATAAAAGGATACAGGTGAATGTTGGCAGATTCCTGAGTGCCGAGCAAACATTAGAAAATGGCACGCCTCAGGGGTCGGTTATCAGTCCCACTCTCTTCAATATCATGATCAACGACATACAGAAATCTTCCTACCTCGACGCCAAAACTGAGTTAGCTAAATTTGCTGATGACAGTACCATATGGAGGAAAGGGAGGAACTTCTGTGAACTACAAAAGAACATGCAGAAGGCCTTAGACAAATTCATGGCATGGGCAAACGATTGGGGATTCAAGGTCTCGGAGAAGAAAACAGTCGGCATGCTTGTAAGCAGGGATAGAGGGATAAGCAGAATGACTCTGTGTATGAACGGGAAAACCATCGAGTTTAAAGACCAAACCAAGTTCCTTGGCGTAATCTTTGACCGAAGGCTGACCTGGAAACCGCACATCGACGAGACTGTAGATAGATGCACCAAAATCCTAAACTTAATGAGAAAAATAATGGGCAGTACTTGGGGGTCCAACAGAGTAACACTAATGATGGTGTATCGTGCTCTAATACGATCTGTATTAGACTACGGCTCTCTGGCCTTCATGAACTGCGCGCCATTACTCTTAAGGTAGCTTGACACCATCCAATACAAAACTCTGTGTATTGCGACTGGCGTAGGGCAAGGGACTGGGAGAGAGGCACTACTGCAGGAAGTCGGGCAGTTGCCCCTATCCCTAAGAAGAAAAGAACTAGCGACAAGGTACTGGGCTAAAATCTCGCAACTGGGCGAAAGATCCCCAACCTTTGTCAGTCTACAAAAAACAAGATATGTGAGAGATCCTAGAAAGAAAAGCTTCGGCCAGGGTATCAGGGAAACAATCAAGGAACTGCGACTGGGGGAGCTCGTGATGAATGAACACGACCCCCCAGCGATCGCCCCTTGGACGCTCCCTATACCGCCGGTTAATCTAGATCTACTACAGAAAACCGACAAGAAAAACAACCCCACTGCAGCACGTGCTTTTTCTCTAGAACACCTGGAAGACAACTGGCCGTCTGATGACTGGGACCATGTGTACACGGATGGCTCACGCAATCCTGAAAGGGGCACCAGCTCGTTTGGAATATACCTGCCAAACGGGGAACAGGGAATAAGCAGGAAACTGCCCAATAACTGTTCGGTGTACACTGCAGAACTTGTGGCCATTCGTGACGCTATATCATGGATTTCCCATCAAAAGACTAGTAAGTTCGTCATTCCAAGCGACTCTCTGAGCAGTCTGATTTCAATCCAAAATGACAACTCGGACTCAAGACCAGAAGTCATTTTGGAAATCAGGCAGCTGTACCAGAGGGTTTTAGAGAAGGGAAGCAAATTAGAACTCGTGTGGATTCCATCACATGTCAACATTAGAGGAAACGAGGAGGCAGATCGACTAGCCAATGAAGGTCTCAAGGACACAGCACCACTCCGCACCATAGACTACAGCACCACGGAAATCTACAGTATGGTCAAAAGACAGGTCAATTCAATCTGGGAATTACACCTCGTTGAACTTGACACATACAGATTCCGGCTGGATGACAAGATCTATACAAAGACAACACTCAATCACCCTAGAAGAGATATATTTAGACTTATATCGAAGCTAAGGGTGAAAGAGCGGCTGCGAGACTACAAACACCAAGTCATCATCTGTGAGTGCGGAGAAAAATGTACCACCAACCATGTCCTGGTAGACTGCGAGGTATACAAGGAGGAGAGAATGGAACTAGTGAGAACAATGGAGACTAACAACATACCATTCAACACTAAGAATCTACTCTTCCCGAGACCAGATTTGAAACTGCAAATCTTCGAACAAATCCACGCCCTAATGGACACAGTTGGACTAAGTAGAATAGTGAAGTAAGAGGGGGTCACGGCTAGACGGGCCCGGCATCTAAACACTAAATTACATAGGGGATTTATACCACACTGGCAGGATAGTGGAGTAAGGGGGAGTCACGACCAGACGGACTCGGCATCTAAACACTATTCCGCCAAAAACAGACACCAAACCTACAGAATGGGATAGTGGAGTAAGGGGAGGTCACGATAAGACGGGCCTGGCACCTAAACACAAACCCCTCAAAGATGACATCTACCAAACTAGCAGGATAGTGGAGTAAGGGGGAGTTACGATCAGACGAACTCGGCACCTAAACACTATTCTGCAAATAAAACTGATACCAAGCCCAAAGAGTGGGATAGTGGAGTAAGGGGAGGCCACGACAAGACGGGCCTGGCACCTAAACACTAACCCCAAACGATGACATCTACCAATCCAGAAGCAGACGAAATCATCTACCACTATTCTGCAAATAAAACTGATACCAAGCCCAAAGAGTGGGATAGTGGAGTAAGGGGAGGCCACGACAAGACGGGCCTGGCACCTAAACACTAACCCCAAACGATGACATCTACCAATCCAGAAGCAGACGAAATCATCTACCAAACGATATGTTTTATATTAAATAAAGGGAAGAACTTCCCACTAAACCAATTCCATGGCCTAATGCCAAATGGAAAGATTGCAAAATCATATTCTAAAAAACAGGAATCAGCTTCGGCTCTCCTATGTCTTGTCTGCGATATCACTTATGTGGAAGCAGACGTTAAACACCAAGAAGTACTACTACTACTACTCATTCCCTAGTTGACAGCGGAAGAAGTACGACGTTTTTGCATCCTACGCAAACACAGACCTTATTCTAGTGAACATGGCAGATGTAGCAGCTCAAGCACCCGCGACAAAATCACCAAAAAAGGAGATGGCATCCAAGCCCAAGGCAGCCGCCACACACCCGAAATACGTTGACATGATCCGCGCTGCCATTGGCAGTTTGAAGGAAAGGAGTGGTTCATCACGACAAGCTATCTTGAAATACGTCATGGCTAACTACAAGGTCGGATCTGATTCGAACATGGCTAACTCCCGGGTAAAAACCGCCCTGAAAAACGGTGTCAAGTCCGGAGTTATTAAGCAGGCCAAGGGCACGGGAGCAGCCGGTTCCTTCAAACTTGGTGACGTAAAGGCCGAAAAACCCAAAGTGAAGAAAGCCGCTAAAAAGTCTCCTGCTAAGAAAACGGCCACCGCCAAGAAACCCAAGGCAAAGAAAGCAGCACCCAAGAAAGCCGCTACACCGAAAAAGGCTGAAGCCGCCGGAGCCAAGAAGACAGTAAAAACAAAGAAGGCCAAGTCACCCAAAAAGGTGAAAACCCCTAAAAAGGTTAAAACCGCAAAGCCAGCCAAAAAGGCAGCCCCCAAGAAGAAAGCTGCCGCCAAACCTAAAAAGGCCTAAATGTCTTTCCCCGAGCTTTATTGCACGACTGTAAAACGGCCCTTTTCAGGGCCATCCAAAATTTCCACGAAAGAATGCCTTTCCATATTCTAATCAAACAAATGTAACCATTTGTCGCATAGTAAGTGATCAATTCACACATAAAGCCTATCTCCTGACCCGGGCGGGCGGGCGAGCACGCATGCTGAATACTACTCTATAAGAGTTTCCAGATATTTTAAGTCCTAAATGGCCGCTTTTAGCCGAAAGCGCTAAATTCTGTTCTTGTGTATTAAAATTAGTCCTTATGCGTGTAACGGGTGGGAATTGGAGTCGGGTCGCACCACAAAACAGTATACCAACCAATTGTTGAATAGGGGGCAGATATATATCGCCGAAGTAGAGGACAAAGTTCTCCGGAGTGGACATTGGGACCTTGAACATGGAGGCTGTCGGGTTGTGCGCGAGTATTATGTGTGTAAAGAACTACTTGAATCATTAAATCGGGTACGGCACGGGTCTTATTGGTCGCCCTAAACTACCGCACCTCTTGTTTGTGCTATTTTCTGAAGGGGGTCGGGTTTTGGGTTTTTTTTTAAAATTTTTGTTTTGTTTGGGTTTTACTAATTAATTAGAATATGAAGGTTTTCTTTCTGAATAATTTAGGTGGCCCCGAAAAGGGCCGTTTGATATGCTTTGTGAGCGTTGTCAGATCTAACCTCCGAATCCGTACAGAGTTCGGCCTTGACTCTTCAAAGCGTAGACGACATCCATGGCTGTGAAGGTCTTTCGCTTGGCATGCTCGGTGTATGTGACAGCATCTCGGATGACGTTTTCCAAAAATACTTTAAGGACACCACGGGTTTCTTCGTAGATCAAACCAGAAATACGTTTTACACCACCTCGTCGGGGCAAACGTCTGATGGCTGGTTTAGTGATACCCTGGATGTTATCACGAAGGACTTTCCTGTGACGTTTGGCTCCTCCTTTTCCCAAACCTTTTCCTCCCTTTCCTCGTCCAGACATTTTGCAAGAGTTGATTCGATGTTGCTCGTTCAAAGAAAACAGCAAGAATGATTACCCTACACTGAATTTCGGTTATTATAGGAGTTGAGCGCGGACCTGTGAGAGAGACTGTGTTTTCTCGTTCACGCCAGCTTCAATTTTCTGCGTTCCACCACACATCACATATATGTCCTGTAATGTCAATCTTTCTTCCCTACTTTTTCATTCATTCATTCATTCACTCCTTCATTCATTCATTCATTCACTCACTCACTCACTCCTTCATTCATTCGTTTCTTCGTTTTCGGTGAATGAATGAATGAAAGAATGAATGAATGAATGAATGAATGAATGAATGAATGAATGAACGAACGAACGAACGAATAGTCGGCCCGCCCTCTGGGATAGACCATCCCCGCTTATTGTAAGACAATGGTATTGGCAGTTGTATCCCACATGCATTAATTAAGTTAGTTAGTAAGACATGACGTCAATATCATTAGATCATATTATATGAAAGCTACTAAAATATATTATTACTTATGAATGGCTGTTAAATGACCTCAGGTAGAAGCATAGCGCAGAAAAACTTATCGAGAGACCATAGAATGCAGACCGGAGACCGCTGTACAAGACAGAACGAGGGCGTGTTACAATAGAGGCAGACGTGAATTATGACGATGGTCGTAACGACTACAATCTGTTATGATGTTACGTTCCTTTATGCTGTATTGGTTGTTAGAATTATAAATGTAATGACTTAATGTTTGTTCCTGCATTGTTGAAATAAAGAAGTCAAATCCACAGTCATCGTTAACAATAGATCCTTTTATCCTATGTTACATTATTCCGTGCACGAAATATTCAGGCTCGGGGTTTTGGCCTGTATTTATGGTAGACATAAATTGTGGCGGGCTCTCTCCCGCAAAGGGGAGAGGAACGATGCAGGATCACCAAGTCTGCCTCGCCCCGCACACAAGTTAGGATATGTCAATAAATCTCAAATTGGGTCCGCAACGTGTAACGCCAGACCATGCAATCGCAGCAACTCCGATATAGGCTAACTGAGCTGGAATTATCTCCAATCGTTCCTCGTACGTCACATTATTTTAGTCACTACCTCCCCGTGTCGGGATTTAGTAAGTTCCGAGCCTGGTGCCCCCTCTATTTCCCGTCATCACCGTGGTAGACAGGTCGCTGACCATCGCCAATGGATGGGCCAGACACTTCAAAGCAAGGACGTCGGAGGCACAGTTATTCGGATTTCAACATCTGTCGTTTCGCCCCGTCGCTACTACAGAGAATAAATGCCGGGACCTCGATGTATTGCATGTATTAGCTCTAAAATCACCACATTAAACCCGCTTTTCGCCAAGGAACTTTATCTGACTAATGAGCCGTTCGCAGTTAAACTTTGTGAAAAGCATATTGATCACTGGCAGGATCAACCAGATAGCCGTTAACGAGCTCGACGAGAACCACTAATAACCACGCCCACTCGCCGCTATTATCGAGAGGATTTGGCGACCGGTGCGGAACCTAAATCTCAACTCGCCCAGCCTCGTTTGCTTCGCAATACTGAACGAGGAGAACGACACCCTGGCAACGTGATAGCCTTCTGAGAACCAATGTGAGCCGAGACGGGTGGTGCAAAGAGACGATTAATATCAGGCGTTAAAAGCTCAGACGCGAGCGGGTTCAGCCGGGAATTCCCCCTCTCTCTGTCTCTCTGTCTGTCTGTCTCTCTCCCCCTCTCTCTCTGCCGAATTCATATATTCTCGATCCACCAGCTTACGCAGGGACAGTTCTGTCCCTCTAAATTCATCAATTCGCGTCCATTCTGGCCAGGGACCCTCGTTCCAACAATTATCGCCGGGATCTGTCAGGCTAACGGATAATTTAATTGACCTTCCAGCAACAAACAACCGAAATTTAACGGACGGTGAAAAAACGACACTTTAACATGATAACGATTCGTTATAGTTTTGAAAAACTGGGCACTGGGCTTTAATCTGCCTTTTTCAATGTAGACATGGATGCCGCGAAGGAGATAAAAAGCGGGGCAGTGTGGTATGCTTCGCGCCGCTCAACAGTTGGGGCACACATCCCTGGAGTCAACTTCCCTGTAATAGCCCCTCGCACACTTTTAAGTCGATGGGATCTCATTGATTTATCTTCGCACACGCCGGCATAGTTGCACTTTCTCGGCGAATTCATTGCGCGTTAACAGGACGAGTGATCCGGCTGATCCAGTTAAACGATCCCATGCCTTATGACCGCTGCAATGCCTTCGAGAGAACCGGCGGAGCAACAAGCGCACCCCGAAGGATTCTGAGATGGGCAGCCGAGAGCTGCACAAAGCATATTATCAGACCTTCACTTAATCACGTACGCAATGATCATGAGGAGACCGACAGCCCTCGAGCGCAACAAGATCGTCTCGAGAAACACGACCATACAAATGTCCCGGCTGTCACCCTCACAGCTTCTATGTTCGGCGACAGCTTCCATGTTCGCGGCAAAACAAGTCGAAATAATTGTAGTTTGCGGAAAGGGTCATGTGACTAACTAGTTTCTTCGGCATTATCGATCTGTCTACACCGGACACTCGTTAACCTGACCACATTCCGAATCCTAGTACTCCCTGTGGATATACCGTAACTCCTCATGACAAGCATTTCCGGGGAAGCTGGAAGACAATCACCAAGGCGGTCAACAAGAGACACCTGGTTAATAACCTTATCTTGTACGTGTCTCGTTACGTATGCTTATGTAACTTTGAAACAGATGGGTGTCGACGGGTGTTATCATCTATTTTAGAAAAGGGAGAACATACATGACAATAATCCGTCCATAAGATCCGCTTAAGAAACCTTGTTATTACGTTTAATATTCCTCTAAAAGATTATACTCGAACGCCTTTCCGTGTCCTTGAAAGGCAAGTCTCAAGCCCAAAAGTCACGCTTAACATATCTAATAGACCGGTGGTTTGAGCGGGTGGTGCGTAGGAATGGCATCAACTTCATTGGCGCCAGCTAATGACGGAGGCCTACTCGAAATTCCTTGTTCACTGGATTTCCAACCCCCGATCGCCAATAATAAAACGATTAGCACGGTTAACCAGTAGTACGTGTTACCCCCTCACCCTCTCTGGGCTGGTTCACCGGATCAACAGAGCTGGTTAATAACATACCCCGTACATGTCTCGTAATTACAACCCCATGTTGCACGAAGTCGCCGTGAACGGGTTGTCACGCCACTCTTCATTTCAGACACAATATATATAAAAGTCATTTATTAATTCACCAGACCTTGTTTTATTCATCACATTACAATCCATGGGCTACTTTACACATAACTATAATGATATGTTCAAAACTACAATTGGCTAACCGCCTATAAACTGCTACTATATGGCTAACTGCCGAGAAACCTCTCCACTCAATTCCTGTCATGCTATGTACTTTTTCACCAACTCACTACTCCCTTCACTTATGCTATAGTCCATGTTTTCCAGACACGGACGTGTACCCTATCATTACTGAATAACTATTGAAGGGGGATAACTCAAAATAACATCTTACTAAACTTGGTCTCAGAGCACAACACAGGGGTCTGACACGGGTTACAAATCACTTATCTTGAGCAGCGTCCGCGACCCGATCACCAGCAACGTTGGATTAAGGAAGAATTACATGTACACGTATCCCAGTGCCATGGCAACGCTGCTGGTTCCATAAAGTTCATGCAGAATCCTAGCTCTGTCATGAGACCTCGGTTTTTCGTCCCATCCGAACGACTAGACACTGTTCCTTGTCAGGTCTTCCGCCCTGCACCACTGACAACGGCAAACCACGCCTGAAAATTCCGAGTAACTACAAACCTCCCGATTAGCGAGTCACAATTTACTCACTTAGTCACAGCGACTTTGTTCGATACGATGCCAGAGGAATGACGAAACGATTAATTTCTGTAATTTTAATGAATCCTCACATCATATACAATTAATGATGTAAACAAACGATGTCAATCAAAACAACGATGTAA